AAGATGACAAAATTTCACAACGCTAGAATTTCTAAGCGAAATCTAGCTTAAAGTTTTATGACATGCAAAAGACCCAGGAATTTGCTGATAAACCAAAAAGGAATCACAAAAACAAGATACCCGTGCAAGAATAAGATATACACAAAAATTAAACCAAATATATGGTTAGAACAACCAAGGCTCCTGAGCACATCTAGTAATGATATCAACATAAAAACAATATAACCAGTGAAAAGAAGAGAGATCATAAAAAGACGAAGGCACCAAATTAACAAATTTTGACGCAACCAAAGTTCATATCATCATTTATGAAACTGTACGGTTGACACAAAACCAGTAGAAACGCAAGAGTTAATATAATAACGACCTAGATTTTGATCAAATCCAAAAAGTTTAGCACAAATATTCAAAATATTCTGCAAGCAATCTATTATTATTATTAAAAAAACATCGCAAGATTTGAGGAAGCCACATAACTATTAGTTCAAATTTCTCAAATAAACTCTTCATGAGCAAGCTCAAAGGTAGCATAATCCACATCCAGCAAGAAAAGGGATTAATAGCATCAAACAAAGACTAGGAAACTAAGGAGTCTCAGATTCAAGTATCTCAAACAACAAAACTGGTTCTATCTGAAAGCATCCTGATCCAAATGCACTGCCTAAGCCTTGAGCCTTCCATAAAACTTCTGCTTCTCCTCCGTAGTCTGGAGGCGACCGTGCCCAAACTTGGATGAAGTGTCGATGAACTTGAGCTTGATTTCCTCAAGAGCCAATCGAGAGGTCTGTTTCAACAGGGACTGGCGAAGAGTGACAACTCTCTTTTTGGGCCCAACACAGCAACCCTTGATCAAAATATAGTCATCCTACACAACACCATAGTGAGGGAACCCTCCCATAGGAGTAATATCCTTATCAGTCCTGTTAAGCAGTAACCCAGATGAAACACCAATTAATATCATAATTGCCACCAATGAATAGATAAAGTTGCATTAAAAGTGTGTAAATTTCACAAAACTCCCCCTGAACTTTGGAGGGCTTGCACAGCCTTTATGAACTTTATCATAGAAGACACCTCTCCAACTTTTCTCACTTACGTATACCATGAATGACAGATGTTACTTGAACTTTTTGACAATTTTGCCCTCATTTACTAAATAATCAGTAGTAACTAAAAGGGTAACTTCACCAACCTACAGTAGTAACTAAAAGGGTAACTTCACCAACCTACAGTAGTAACTAAAAGGGTAACTTCACCATTTATGAAATTTACGCTGGGGGTCTTATGAAATTTACGCT